CAGAGGGGGGGGGGGGGGACACGCAGCACTATATCTTTTGTTTTGAGAAGCAAAGACGTTACTTAGGAGTTTTCATGGTGCAAGATAAATCCCGCCCTTACATAGAAGAAGGGGAAAGCCCTAAAATGATCGCATACATTAAACAGGGGGGCAAATTAATGTCTGTTGACAATTTTTTCTCCCTTTACAGACTATGTGCGTGGTATATGTAAACGCTCATCTGCCGGGCCAGCCAATTAAAGTTAAACCAATGTTTGGACTTATTGCCCCTCTGCTATAAATGTGAGCAACGCTTTGGTAGTGGAGGGGAATATTTTATATATATATTCCGTCTGATATGTGTATGAAAACCCATATTATAGGTTATTTCAAGAAATTTTCATAAGCCAGAACTACATCTTTTCAAAACAAAACCAGCAACTTTCATCACGGAAGTTATTCGCAGGGGCTTATTTGGTTTCTTTTGATTTAAATACCATTTATTTTACATGACCAAACACAATAAATAACGTAATATACAAAGCTTTGTCATTATTGCACATTTGTAAAATATTTTACAGGGAGTTCCGTACAGCCAGCAATATCTGAAGCACAAAGACTTTATTTACAGTTTTCGTATAATAATAACCAGGTCCAACGGACCGAACATAACACGATTTTAGAGCCATCTTATTATTTGTTCCCCCAACCAGCAAAACCTTCTCGATCGTTTCTAAGATATATATATATTTATATTTATATTTTGGGGGGAAATGTAAACATTATTGCCAAAATTATCTCTACATCCAATAAAGGGGACCATGGCAAATGATTTTCGACAAATCGAAAAAAGGTGAAGCTGGTCAAAGAATCCCGCGTTTTGGTCTATTTTCCCCCCCTTTCAGTTAGCATTAAATTATATATTAATAAAAAATTTAAATATAAATTCAGTGAACAACAGCTGGTATATTTTCTTCCTCTTTTTAATACATAAGTAGTCTGGTTCCTTACTCTTACAAAAATTATTTTTTTCCCGAGTTAGGTCATTAAGTTTAAAGTTCTCTAAATAACCTACCCACGGTTCTGGTCAAGATAACTCATCCTTCTCTGCTTCCCGCATATCCTTGCTGTATTCCACCCCCCCAAATCCTGCCCGTTCAAGCAATCTGTCTCCATCCTTTGACCCCCCCCACACACGCCCACACACACACACAAATCTAGTTTATGTTCACCGAACAAAACAGTACAAAGGTGTTTAAAAAACAAAACAAAAACATTTCCTGAAAGTCTATTATCAAAATCTGGGAAGAAGAAAAAAAAAGATCCAGTGTCTTAAAAACAGAAGAATTCTGGACACTTGTTTGAAATATATATAAATTGGAGAGAAGATGGGTAGGCTTCGGTGTCTGCCTTCACTCGGTATACCCAAGGCCTAAATAAGCAATAGCTAGTTATTTGAGGGCTTCGACTCTTCAGAAAAATCTCATTATGTGAAGAGCGAAGTGGCTCTGTGGGGAGCATTATGGAAATCTCCGAGTTTGATTTAATGAGGCTTTTCACATTGGTGGAATATCAACTCGAAGAGAAGAACAAGAAGAAGAAAGGGCGGGAGGGAGAAAAAAGTCTACCCGGGGTGTCCAAGTTACCAAAATGAAAATTGGCAATTGAGATGATAAGAACCGTGGCTTCCTTGTGCAAAAATCACTTCCCAGGTAGCAGAGATAACATTAAATAACAGACATTCTTTGCACCGAGAACAATGTTTTATGTACCGAGTCTCTTATCTGTCTCTTCTAATGACTTCCCTTTGCGGGTTGTTAGTACTTGACAGCAGGTCTCCGCGCGGGGAACTTTTCTTCCCCCAATTCCACATTCAAAGGAGGTCCATCAGAGAACATGATTGGCAATTTTCGTCATAATCTGCACATTATTAGCATCAGAACTGACACGGCTATAACGCCGGGGGTTTGGGTGGCGCCTTCAAGTTCGCAGAAGTTCCTCCAGTCGTAGGGGGGGGGAGGAGAGGGGGTTGGTCTCGCCTACCCGGGGGTGGCTTTTCAGGGGCCAAAGACTGAGAGAAAAATAAAACCCAGACTCATGGTTTCCCCCTTTCCCTTAAAAAAAAAAAGTTTTAAACTAACTGAACTAATAAAAATTAATAGTAATAATAAAGTATCCGAAGGTCAGTGATTTAGAACAATCAGTCACATACCTAGAAAGCTTCAAGTATTTCCCAGATACCGTGGACTATGGTCGTTTCAAACATAACACTGCCCCCAAAGAACCCCCCCAAAACAATTTCCCTATTTTTTTCTAAATCACCTTGCCGTCAACTTTACGCTTCTTTTCCTTTCACGAGCTTATCCTCGGCTCTACAGGGGTCCCCTCCAAACGCACGCAGTCATTTCCAGTTCAATAGGTCAGGACTGAGGGGAAACCGTTTTAAGAATCGCATTTCCCCTTGGTCGGAATGCCTCTCTTTCGGTTAATTGTTTCAGGGTTCTGTTTACTTCGTCCTCAGGAAATCCCCATTAATGGTGGATTTGGGTGTCTGCGTGTTAATTTGGAGGCCGTTATGTTTTTAAAATATCCAATCATTAAAAAAAACCCACACAACACAACGGGTTACAGCTACCCTAAAAAAACAGAGAGAGAGAGAGAGATGCTCGTACTCAACCACTTCCCTTCGTGGCCGACAGGGGGAGCAGCGCAGGACGCTTGGCCAGCAGCAGCATTCAAGTACAGAGAGAGGGTCTGGAAAGGAAACCTGCCGTCAGTTCGCTCCAAGAGACGGAGGGGGTGTGAGGGGGGGGGGCTGAAGAGGTACTCAAAAAGGAGATTTGGTCCCTTCCCGGGGCTGCCACACACACCCCAGCCGCCCTCCCCAGCAGCCACCCTTTCTTGCTTCCATTATGGAAGTTCCCTTTTGAACCAGGGTCATTGCAAGAGCAGCAACATTGCAATCACAGCAGAATAACAACAGCGCCCACTTCGGCCGGCGCTCCAGTATCTCGCTCTCTCTCCGGCTCTGCCCTCCTCTCCCCTTTTGCAACACGGGGGAGGGGGGCTCCTTCTGCGGCCGGGGGGGGCTGGGGGGGGCTGGTTATCTAGTCAGGGGCGCCTCGTCGCGCTGGTCCGGGGAGGCCACGGCGGTCTTGCTGAGCACCGCCGCCGAGTAAGGCAGGAAGCCGCTCTCCGAGCGCTGCGAGACGGCGGCGGCGGCTCCGGCGGCGGCGCTGCAGGTGAAATCCGAGCTGGAGGCGCGCGAGCCCAGG